AGGCGGCAATTGATGGTTTTTGATTGGCGGAAAGTAGGTTTGGTGATATACTTCACTTCCTAAGTTATCCAACTTTCTCTTAATGCCAACAGCTCATGCTTTATACAAAAGCTTAGTCATCTAGGTAGAAAGCTTAGTCTTCTAGGTATACACTTGTGAAGAAACTAAAGTAGTGGTAAATATGTTTGTACGTGGCATCAACTTATATCAAACAATAGGTATTTTTATAATAGTATTATCATAAAGGTAACAACTATGTGGTCAAACAATTATATATAATTAACTATAACCCATATAAATATATAATCAATTTAAACATATAACTAAATAGCCAACAATATATATATATATATATATATATTAAAAAATGGGATTTCACATTCTGTACTTGAGAATCAAAGCTGGTTGAAAGGTTTGATTTGAAAGTCACCTAATCTCTCAATACCCTTCTATATCTTACTAGTGAATTCTGGATTAGTCTCTTTGCGTTTCTGGTATGTTCTTTGTCTCCCTAATTTCAGATTTTATCTCTCTTGATTTGTCTGGTTTGTTTAAATATTTTTTTATTTCTGGTTTCTTTTTAGATTTTCTGATTTGCTTATCAGGAGATGAGGAGGAAGCTTGCAGATTTATAACTTTTTCTTTTGCAGGTTTTCTATGTGAGTCATATGTTTTTTTGTTGTTGAAAATTTGTTATCTTCTCTTTTCACCATCATTTTATTTATATATTTTTCCTTTTGCAGGTTCTCGATGGTCTTTTTTATGCTCATTTTACAAGTTTTCTATGGAAATATGGACCAATGGTAAAATTTCTCTTCCACCTAATTTTTTATGTTTATAATCTTAGCTTCTTTTTTTTTTCTCTCTTTGTCATTTTGATTTATTTACAGGGATGATGGAGGAGACTTCAGTTGTGCATCATTTGTATGTTTGGATGAGGAATGCTTGGATTAGGAGTACGTAGGTCTTGTTAGGAATTATGTTTGTTGTAGAATAAAGATTGGTTAACTATGTAATAACTATTGAATCTTCAAGTTTTATGAAAGAAACTATTTTTGAGTGTATATATTCATTAATAAAGCATTATGGTTGGGTTTTTAGTTAAAATCGTTGTATAGCATCATAGGAAATCAAAAAGAACTAAAATGTAGCAGTTTGGAAACTTATTATACGACGGTTTTTATAATAAATCATGGTCTTTACAGATAATTAACGACGATTTTTATAAAAAAGGGTCGTCTATTATAGGTAAAGGTGACGATTTTTATAAAAAATGGTCGTCTATTATATGTAAAGATGATAGTTTTTTAAAAAGGGTCATCTATTATATGTAAAGATGACGGTTTTTTTTTAAAAGGATCGTCTATTGTGAAGTAAAGATATCTTTTTTTTTTCAAAAAGGGTCATCTATTGTATGTAAAGATGACGGTTTTTTTTATAAAACAACCATCGTCTTTATAAACAATCCACGATGGTTTTCATAAAAAAAGGGTCATCTTTACATACAATATATGACGGTTTTATTAAAAACAGTCGTCTTTCCTCCTATAATTAACGATCTTTACCTCTAAACAACGACGATTTTCTTTTAAAACTGTCGTCTTTACGGTGAAAAGCCGTCGTAGTTTGACACCCAAATAGATGTCGGTCGATTTCACGACGGTTGGAAAACCTTCTACACGGCGGTGGTTTCCCGTAGTCTATTTTGATTTTTGTAGTAGTGCTACTAGTATGACGTGTTTAATCATGACCGACTAGGGATTGTTCAAGGAAAGTTTATTACTATATATTTAATTATGAATTAACTTATATGACGTATGTTATAATTGATAAGCTTTCCGTTTTAATGCATAAACTGGAATGCATGTTGTTAGTTGTTTTGGCTAAGTTATGTTTTTTTTATAGCTTTTCTTGAAAAACATATAAATTTGACTGTAATGTAATTCTTTCAATAAAGCTCAAGCAGTTAGGTCAATCTAGGATGGGTTAGTGCTAAGTTGACGACTGTGGCTCTGACATACTTCATAACGGCTCGATGCAATTAAAGCTCGTTGCAGGTAATTCAATCATGATTTGCGTTGTGAAATTACCTATATGATAATTAAAAAGCCTAGAAGGGGTGAATAAGCCAATTTAAGATTATAATCAATAAACCAGAAATAAACTTTGGTAGTAGGATTGTTATGGCTTATCAATCCTGAAACGTGCTAAGCATAAAATAAAAGAATTATTTTATGTGGTAAAACCCCACCTGTGGGGAAAATCCACAGGACTCCTCAGTCCAACAATCCACTATATAACGATAATTACAAGAAGTACTCACACACTTATCCTA